AAAAAAAAAAAGAGAGCGAGAGATACAGGAATCACAACATACCATTCAACAACTGCAGAATATACCTGTTTTTTTTCCTGCACACATGTAACAGTTATAATAACTGTTCATACATAGGCTTAATCTCAAATTTCAAAGGAATAATGTAGAGATACAAGATTGTATATATCATAATAAAACTAAACTCAGAATGAAAAACAAAATGGTAACTACTAAAATTCATCATTGGAAATTAAGCAATATATATTAATATATTGGGTCAAAAATAAATCATAAGAGATCAGAAATTAGAACTAAATACTAACGAAAACATACATATCAAACTTGAGGGATTCTTTTGAAGCAGTATTTAGAGGGAAACACAGACATTAGAAAAGAAGGAAATCTGAAATTTAACGAGCCAAATATTAATTCCAAGTACTGTACTTAGAAAAGAACAGCAAAATAAAATAAAGAAAAAGGAAGTAAGAAAGAGTGGGATTTTATAAAAAAGAAAACATACAATAGAGACCTATTCAAAATCATCTATTCAAGAGGTAGTTCTTTGAAAAGGCCAAAACAAAATAAAAATACCTCTAGTGATATTACTGGCCAAGGAAAAAATAAAGAGAAAGCCCATGAGTCACCACTGTCAGGAAGAAGAGACTGTACTGTAGTCCTGCAGACATTAAAATAAAATAATAGTACTAAAATCTTTGTGCCAATAAACATAAATATGTAGATGAAATGGATAAAATACTAGAAGAGTATCAACTCCAGTATATCCCATCAAAATTCAACTATATAATATCAATCAAAACCCTGCATAAATAGCAACCCTAAAATATCCCGGGTCGGAAGTCTCAGTTGTTAACATGTCATTTCCCCCCACGTTGATTTCTTGGACGCAACAGGTTCAGTGCATTTCCAATCAATCTCACTAGAAGTTTTGTGGAGAAACTGACAAGTTTATTTTGGGACTCGTATGGAAATACAAAGGACCTAAACAGCCAAAGAAATCTTGAAAAAGAAGACTGGAAGACTTCGACTACCTGACTTCAAAGCTTATTATAAAACTACAGAACGAAGATAATGCGGTGTTGGCAAAGGATTGAAAAATTAGATTGCGGTAGAATACAACCCATTTGAAAACATAAACCATGATGAGATACCACCTCACCCCTGTCAGAATGGCTAAAATCAAGCACTCAGAAAACAACCAGTGTTGGCAAGGATGTGGATAAAAAGGAACCCTCAGGCACTGTTGGTGGGAATGCAAACTGGTGCAGTCACTCTGTACAACAGAGTGGAGGTTCCTCAAAAAGTTAAAGCTGAAAGTAGAACAACCCCGTAACCCAGTAATCACACTTCTGGGCAATCACCCAAAGAATACGAAGACAGTCATTCAGTGGGATACATGCAGCCCTCTGTTTCTAGCGGCGTTATCTCCAATAGCCAAACTATGGAAGCAGCCCAAGTGTCCACTGACTGATGAATGGACAAAGGTGTGGATATATGCACAATGCAGTATTATTCAGCCATAGGAAAGAATGAAATCCTGCCATTGGCCACGACGTGGACGAAGCTAGGGTATATTATGGTAAGCGAAATAAGCCAGGCAACGAAAGGCAAATGCCATATGATTTCATTCATAGGTGGAATTTAAGGAGTGAAACAAATGAACAAAGGAAAAAAAAAAAAAAAGACTAAAAACCAAACTCTTAACTAGATAGAATAAGCTGACAGTCACCAGAGGGGAGGTGGGCGGGGGGATGAGTGAAATGGGGGATGGGGATTAAGCATCCCCTGACCATGAGGTGCGCCGGGTAATACACGAATTGTTGAATCACTACATTGTACTTCTGAAACCGATATAACACTGTATGTTAACTATGCTGGAATTACAATTTTTTTAAATGACTAAAAAAGAAAAATATTTTTAAGATGGAACAATGAAAACGAAACAAAGAACAGAAGCCCTTTGTTGTTTTTCCAACCATGGTGCTAGAACAACTGGATGCTCATATGGGAAAGAAATTAATCTCTACATCGCACGATACACAACAATTAATCTGCAATAAACTTAAACACAAAACTATAAAGCTTTTGGAGGAAAGCGTGAAGAGCAAACGCATGACTCGGAGGTATACAGGATTTCTTAAAATTGATACAGAAAGCATTACCCTAAAAAAGACATTAATAAACTAGGCGGCACCAAAATTTTGTTAAGCTTCTGCTTAACAAAAGACATCGTCGAGAAAATGAACAGGCATGCTAAGGACGGGGAGAACACATTTGCAAATCACACATCTGATGGAAAACTCCTGCCCACAAATACACAGGGCAAGAATTCCTGTAACTCAAGAAAAGGTGGACAACCCAATTTTTTACAAACGCAAAAGTTTTGAACGTTTCATCAAAGAGATAAACACACGCCAACGAACACGTGAAAAAGTGCCCCGAATCATCACTAGATGAGGACATGTAAATTAAAACCGAAAGTAAGTAGGAAACAAAAGCACCAAAAATGACTCTTGTATTTCTACTTCTCGCCAAGATGGAGAAGGAGGGACCAGATCTACCCCCTCTGTTGAAACAACCCCAAAAAAGGGGGGCGGGAATGAAATACATGAAAGAACAGTGCTCAGACAAATCAGACAACAAAAACCAAACATCTCCAAGCGACAAGTGAACAGGGGCGCCTGGGTGGCCCAGTGGGTTAAACGTCCGACTTTAGCACAAGTCATGATCTCACAGTTCGTGGGTTCGAGCCCCTCAGTGCACCGCCCACTTCAGATCCTCTGGCTCCCTCTGTCTTTCTGCCCCTCCCCCGCTCGTGTTGTCTGAAAAATAAATAAAACATTAAAAAAGAAAGAAAGGAAAAAAGAAAGAAACAAGTAAACAAATGAGGTGAGCAGAATGACTGCCGCCAGTTTAGTGTTTGGAGTTTCCAGGCCTCAGAGTGAGGAAGACACACACTTCCAGAAGTCTCTCCCAGTTGAGGAAATCACCGAGGGGCTGGAGAGTTTGAGGTAGTTAAGAGTTTGTCAACTGAGAAAGGAGACAAAACTGAAAAGGAACACAGGTCTTTATTTGGAGTCCCAGGACTGCAATTCTGGGGAGAGCACAGATTCCAGAATAACCAGAAAAGCGACCCACTTGTGCAGGGAAAGCCAAGAGTTCTCATGAGAAAGAAGGAAGAGGTAATTACAAGATTGAGATAAAGAAGAGAGGGGAAAAAACCCTGCTAATTTAGTGCTGACCAGTTGAACCGATGGTGACTATCTTATTGATTACTGATCGGTGCTATCAACGACACGGTTCCTGCTAGATAATTAAGTTTCCTGTCCTCATATGCTCTGACTGTCGGTGAAATTTTATGAGCAGCGTTTGTCATAACAATTGCTGCTTCCGGCCGAGTGGAGTTTCTAGACGCCAGCCAGGCTCAAGGCACCTCCGATGGAGTGAGGGCCGGCAGTGACAATCTGATGGGGTTTCCTGGTCTCCAGTGTGAAGGTCTCTGGGGATCCTGTGTCTCAACGAGCGCTGTTGTGGCCATTTTTCTGAGGTTTATCTCAAGTCATCCAGCCTCACTTTGCAGGGCTTTTCAGGGGGGAAAAAGGCAGTTTCGGTTCCCGGTGATTCCAAGTGACGAAAATGAGAAACCTTTGTTTGGAGAATCACAGTCAGATATTCAAGGAAACCAGAAGAATTCGGGATCCAGCCCAGTTCTATAGGCAAACAGCAAACACTCAGAGACCATCAGAACTAGAAGCCAACAGCCACAATACTGTGTTACAGAAACAATGTTTTTTTTTTTTTTTTCTCTAAAATCACCCTGGTCTCCAGCAAGGAGAACTAAAGTAAGATGAATTTGTTTGTAAAAT